CTAACATGTATGTTACAATCACTGACTCATCTAATAGTATAGGAAACTATGCTAATAAACAGTCGTAGAGAACAATAATTAGATTAGCATGTTTGCGTTTACCAAAAAAAATCGTGTAGCTAGGAGGCCAGCGGCGTTCCTTACAAATGCCATTGATACCATAATTATACCCCATATGATCATTATAATTGATAGAAATTTCGATGGACCGATGTATCGCATGAGTAAAGTCGATGGAATTTCGAGAAACATCTGAATGATACAAAAGAAAAATTGGTAAAATTATATAGTGAACGAATTTTTACTCACAAAACCGATAAAATAAATAGATACTGCCCAACTGTATTCCGTCGGAGTCAAATGAAGAGCATTTTCAATGCCGGCAATTTTTGCGTTACCTGAGAAGTAGGTAATTCTTACTTATTTTTTGCTATGTTCATAACGTCATAGAATATTCAATATGCTTACCAATATTGATTCGATTTAAAAACGAGAACAATTCGAGTATAGTTAAAAACGGTATCAAGCGTTTATCTAATTTCCATATTAATGCGCGTATTGCTTTCTGATATATTTTATCTGATATTCTAACGTTATTACCACTATACATCGGCGTTATTCCATGATCGCCAGGTTGTCCACTGTCGACAGTAGCACTTATCGTGATAATAGTATCCATTCAATTATACTAGAACATCTGTACAACTAGTTTTGCACTCAATATCTTATAAAAGTTTGTGTGCACGGTAAACCCGACACTGTTTTTCGTTTTTTTCGACTTTATGACTCATGAGAAAGAAACGAAAGAGAAATTTTAAAAAAGCCTACGCAATTATATGTGTCATCAGGAAAAATCATGCATTTGCGATCTAAGAAATTGCGTCGACCAAGAATATGCAACATCTTTCCTTCCATAGTCTCATACGGATGTGCATTTATGACAGAATCATAGAACAATACAGCAGCAAACACTTCAGAAATGGTTCCAGCGTACTTTGTGATTAAAATTGATATTCTGGAAATGTTTGGCTGCTGTAGAGCTAGACCTTTAGATTTTGTTTGTTGCAAGTCATTGTTAAACGACAACGATAATTTCATATGACTATCGCTCAGAATATAAGTTGAATTGTATCTTTTATTTTCTCAGTAAACACTTCTGACAGGTATTCTTCAATAAGTTGACTCATTATGTCTGTTGAATAGTGGAAAAAACCAACGAGAGTGTATGTCGTTGTTTCTTTTTTTTCTCTTCAATGATATGATGACGATACACCTCCTCACAAACTTACTCACTAATTGCGACTTTATTTTATCGTTCTGTTGCTAAAAAACAGCAGAAGACAAGAGTGACTTATTATTTATGCCTCGCAATATTTGATGAAGAGCCGTATATGCATAAAAATGTGACTCGAAGCATGTTACCTAAGTTTTCGAAAGTGTCGATCGCGATTATTTCATTGATGTGGACTATCTCTTTCCTTATTTTTCATAGCTATAACATGAGTGTTCATGAGAGAATCTGTTTAGTCTTGCTTTTTTCAAAAATTTGTAACTTGAATTCACAAACAGAAACTATATTTGTGCATTATTCTCTGGTACGTCTATTTGCTTATCCTGCTGTCTACCTTCCCTGCACTTAGTTGTTCTCTTTGAATCAAGCAAAAAAAAGGGCGTTGTTTTTTCTCAAACTCTGATCGGGTGAAGAAGCAACCAAGCGAAAGAATGACTTGCAGAATGACAAAAGTAACATGCAGTGAGTAATATGAGTTATCAATTTACATTTACGAATATTTATTAGATCCAAAAATAAATTCTGAAAAATTTAAATTGGATTTCAGCCAATTTACATCGATTTGAGTTTAACTTAACTGGATTTGAATCCAGTTGATATCAATATAAATCGAATTCAAAGGATTTATATCCGATTTAAATTAGACTTAAATCCAATTTAAATTTATTTAAGTCCATTTTAATTCAATTCGATCTTTCTAGGACTGACTTTTTAATGAAAAAAAATAAAGCTGTAATGTCAGAATTAGACATGCACCAAACCCAAACGGTTTGGGTTTGGTGAGTTTGGGTATCGAGTTTGGGTTTGGGTATTGAGTTTGGGTTTGGGTATGAGATTGGGTTCAAATTTGATTATGTCCCATGTATCTAAGCTTTTCATATACGACTGTTGATCAAACTCAAACTCATACCCAAACCTAAACCCAAACCCAAACCCAAACTCAAACCCAAACCCAATCCCAAACTCTAACTCAATACTCAAAGCATCAAAACGAAAACGGTTTAGAGCTAGTGCATGTCTAGTTGCAGCATCAGACCCAAACTCAAACCCAAACTCAATACCCAAACCCAAATCCCCAAACAGTTTGGGTTTGGGTTTGGTGCATGTCTAGTCAGAATTAGTGATAACTTAAAAAGTATTAACTATCATAATTATAATATTTGTTCTTACTGTAACGACACGAATAGAGAGCTTTGAGATACAATAATAGATGAAACACTCGGAGAATCCTTTCTAAGAAATACAAAAAGTTTCGTTTCTATTAGAGTTTTCAAAACCGTATGTATATGATCAAGGTCCTTAAACGGTTAAGTTTAAATTAAAAAAATCAAGTTAAAATAAGTTTAACTTTTGGAAATTTAAATTTAAAATAACTTAACATAAAAATTACATGCCTAGTGAGCAACTACTATTTCGTCAATTTCTACTGATAATTGCCGTGAGATAGAAAAAATGAGCGCACAAAATGCAATGTTTTTCTCTCATGCTAAAATCGCTTCTGAATAATAGTTTTGGGTACTGAGAAACTAGCTCTAACTATAAAGCAAATTACTGTACTTCTACACTTATACTGAGGATGTAAACCTCTCAAAAAAAAAACGTATCTCACACAAACTCGTTCTGAATATAAAAGTTCTTAATAGAAATCATTTTTATAGCCTGTTTAAATAGAAATATGAAAGGAGTGACATGGTTTTGGAAAGCTAATGCTGATCCTTGGTCGCCGAGTGACATTGAAGAATGGGTTCCATTCACCGATATCGTTAATCGCCAAATCGAACAAGCCTATCAAGGTCGACAATCAGAAGTGGTGATTAGTGCTAAATATAAAATTGATTTGAACAGACTAATACAAGTGGATATTCTTGATTTTGGTAAACAACGACCAGTTCGACGATGTTCGAAGACAGGAGATACTCTCGCTTTTTATCGTCGTGAACGATTCAATTTCGCCCAGCCTATTCGACGTTCTGTTACTGATGATACGCTTAACTATGGATGCAGTTTTATCACCGATTGGTTTATATTGTTCACGAAAGGCACATTGAAAATGAAGATCACCTTATTGATTGAGGCTCTCGTCTCCGGTATTCTCATCGAAGGCGAAAAACAGAACCATCATGCTGAAGCTCAATCCTTGAAGAAAGAAATTGAATCAATCAAAAAGAAGACAATCGGAAACTTACAACGATGTTGCGCTCGACTGTATACTAAACCATGTTTCTTGTTTAAACTAGTGAATAGAACATTACGTGATGATGATCGGTCGAAGTTGGTCACACTTGGTCCATTCTGCTATCTAGTGTTCAATTATATCGGCATACGGCACAATGAATATTTATCCATTCGAAGTCAATTAAAAAGATTTGTCAAACAAACAAATAATACGTCGGAGATTACTGTTTATCGCGGTGAAACACTATCACTCGATGATATTGAAATATACAAAAAAGCAGTAGGTAAAGGTGACTTCTACAAATGGTTATCATTTGTATCCACATCGCGATCACGCAATGTGGCTGAAGAGTTCGGATCAAATGTGCTGCATATTATCACGATTAAGCGATCGTCGTCCAACGATCAATACGTAGATCTTCAACCAATTACATATTGCAATGACGAAGAAGAAATCCTGCTACGGCCAGGTGTTCGATTCAAAATCGTTAATGCTGATGATGATCCAACTACTGGACGATGTATATTTCATATCGAAATTGAGCCGTCATTCATTTCAAATTTAATGTAGAAAACGAGCTTCTTCTTCAATGAAAGAACACATTCACGCAGAATATACTTCACAAAGAATATATGTTTACTTATCATTGTTGAAATTGTAAATGAAAATATGAAAATGAGTAAAAACAACACACAGCAAAGACAACAGATAGTATATGAAACAAGAGAAGAGAGTTCATAAAGGGTGTAGATGTGAATGGTTGTGGGCGTGCGGATGTCGTATGTGGTTGTGGACGTGAGTGTGCGTATAGATGATAAGAACACCCATACCCACATCCCTACTAGAATAAATATCCTTTTGTTATGTAGGGTTTACTAAAAATCAATCAATATTAAAACATTATGTGTTAAAATAGACGCTTTACAAATTTTTCAAGTTTCACAGTTTAGATCTGCCAAAGTCTTTTACTTAAACTTTGTCTTACAGATACGTTTCAAGTATCATGTTAAATAATTTAAATAAACAGTTATACAGTGATATTCCAAAGACAAAGTAAATCTTTATATGTTGTATTGTTGAAGAATAAAATTTGCTGAATAAAGATAACCAATCGTGAACATGCGTCTCTTTTTGTAAGTATGAGTTATGAGTACCATAAATTTATCGTATAATATTCTGCAAAAAATATGTCTTTCCTTTCATGTCTCATAATTAAAAATACTCTACTATATTAAAATTACAAAAGATATCAATGATTATTAATGTTATACTAACATATGTGCCCTTTATCACTGATATTGGTGTGGGCATATTAGCTCATGTTGCTCACAATCTCAAACACACATCCATCCATAAACACCGGCCAGAAACTACTTTGGTGTTCGTGTCACACGACCGAATTCTTAGTAGACTTATTGACACTTGTGTAGTTTCTGGTCGCGTGCGCGAATAGAATAAGAAAAAGCCGCTCTCATTTCATCCCATTTCTTTTCGAGACTAGAAAAGAAAGTAATAATTTCTTGTCTTTCGAGTCTATTTCAAAGAAAATCGTTGAACACGACCATTTCCCCAATCGGCGACATATAGATTACCATGACAATCGAAGGACAAACCTCGAGGGCCGTTGAACTGATTTGCTCTTTCTCCTTCCCCATTTCCACCCACAATAACAGTGCCCTGTTTCGCACCTCGAGGCCAGCCCATCACTCGATCATTCCACGAATCAGCCACGTAGAGAGTACCCGAGGTATCGACGAATAGTCCTTCAGGATGGTGTAGTTGTGTCAGAGACTCCCCATTGCCTTGACCTCCAGCGATGACAATACCTTCTTTTGCACCTTTATTCCATTTCATTACACGATGGTTCGCCCAGTCTGACACATAGACAGTCTGTTCTTGATCGACAAAGACGAACGTCGGCCAGTCCAGTTGATTGAGATTAGCACCTCTGCCGTTACCACCAGCGACGAGAGTTCCTTCTTTGTCTTCTTCTATTTGATATCGTATGACTCCATGTTTTTCGTCGTCAGAGATGTAGAGATTTCTCTGATCATCCATGGCCAATCCCCAACAACGAATGTTGTCAATGAGTATTTCACCTTCAGTTGTACCACTACAACGAGACCATCGTACAACTCGCCGATTCCCTGGATCAGATATTATGAGACTCTTCGTCTCTTTGTCGATCAACACTTTTGTTGGCCAATTGAATTGATCCAATCGATTTCCTCGGTCATTGCCACCAGCAACGAGTTGTCCATTCTTGGTATCATTCATCTTCCAATGTACGATACGATGATTGTCGGAGTCAGCGATGACCATCATTTGTTCATCATCATAAATTGAGAGACCATGAGGGTGGTAGAGCCCATGAGCAACAGTTACACCATTCTGTGACCATCGGATCTTGACTGAAATATCGGCGATATCTACAATTGAACAAGAGAGAAGTCATCATTGCCGTTGTCTGTTACGAAGAGACAAGTATTAACAATGAAATCTTCTTCGGAATGAAAATCGCCGTGGAAAAGAATCGTTCAAATTATAAATTAAGGACTTAAAAATCTTACTGGTATCGAAGGATAGAAGAAGTTTTAGGAAAACAAGTATAGAGAGGTCAGATCTGAAAGATTGATGAAGATCTATGTTTTGAGCAAAGATTGTCCTTGATTGATGCTATAAGCTACAAGAGGAAGAGAAAATTAGCAGAAGAAAAGAAACTCTGAATCGTCATTGTGATACCTCTCAGACATTGACTGACGAGTATGCATGTAAGTTTTCTCTTCACATCTATATAACTTCTGATTTTAGTACAAGTGATGATAATCGTGGATCTAAACTTGAAAATGTATCTCCACAAACGGTCAGTAAAAATGACTTTACATATTCATACATACTGCAATACGCCAATTCATGATAATCCTTTATTAGAAGGACTTATAAATAATACAATGAATAAGGATAAATATAAGGAAGCACATGAAACGGTGGAAGATGAAGATCGAGATGATCACATCAATACAGATGTGTTAGATTTTACTGATTGAACTTTTTATTAAATAGAAATATTTCCGACAACATATCTGGACTTAATGAATAGAGCAATAAAAAGCCATAAAAACATGTTACTTTTCTTGGAAACCAGTTATTATCTATGTCAGAAAAATAAATTTCAAAAAGTGATAAAATTTATGTCACACTTTTTTGGACAAACATTTTTATTTATTCTTTCTATGAATCTAATTCATTCATTACTTGACATTATAATACGATTTGATATTCCAGTGTTCTCTATAGCCAACACTAGAGTATGGTCATAAAATAACCAAAAACTATTGTAACAGAAATGATTAATTAGATAGATCCTTAGTCTGAGTTTGACGTCAAAGTACTATAATAATTTATTCTACAATATTTTGAAGCTGATAAATCAACAATGGTTTACATTGATACAAGCAAAATCTTTTTTTTCCAAATCAAGAGAAATTATGTTTTGGATGAATTGACCTCTTTTTTATTTTTGATTCTAATAGGTATTGACCCTTTTTTGTTGCAAGATCATTCTTTTTTACACAATAATCTATTTTCTTTTGTTTTTTGCACTCAAATATTATCTGCTCGTTTTCCATCGTGTAGATGCTCGCTAAGTTACATACTTTTGCTAACGATGTGATAGAGAAGAAAATGTTGAAATTATAAACTGTAGTTGAGAACACCAAAGATATGACTTTGTTAAGGAACATAATAGAAGATCTCCTATTGGTGGTAGACTGAAAAATACTACAGAAGATCTCAAGTCTTGTAACCTATCGATGGCTTTAATCCTGAGAAAGGTTTCACTGATACCTTTCCGCAAAAATATCCAGCATGGAATATGTTTGCCGTGTAGATATTATCATTTTCTGCGTGATTTAGTCCTAACGACAAATACAAGTGTTTAACAAGAAAAGTTTTGAAATCTAACTCATTTTCTTATGATCAAGTACACGATAATATCAAAATCATTATACTGACAAAGTCATAGAATAGTGTTTATATGTTCGAATTATACAACTAAATTAAATGCGCTTACCTGGAGAAGGATGAGGAGAAGGTACCGACGACGAATCTGCAATAACAAGAAAGACAGGTGTAGGCATCTTGAAAATGCTTGCGCGAATGCTCATTTTATGTCTGGAATTATTGAAATTGTGAGACTGAACTATCTTTACAAATAGCGAATGAATACAAACTGAGCACATTCCAATCACAGTTCTGGAATGCAGATATATCCCACAATCAGAATTTTAAATATATCTTGCTAGAGAAATATTGGTTAGAGATAACATTTAGACTGAGAAAAACACACAGTTACAATGAACAAGTTATTTAGTCTTTGTTTTTGGGAAGTAGAGTTGTAAATCAGTGTTAAACTATATAAAAATAAAAGTGGAAGACATGTGGGAAGGGTCTTTTGACACAATGACAAACTACGATGAATATGGCAGGAATCATCGGTTACGATTTAAGTGATTTCATTATCTGCCTTACCTAATTATTCCACAAATCCGTGGCAAATTTTCGAAAAATATTGAGTACTTTGGAATCTTGGGCTGTTGAAGATTTATCTCGTTTTCCTATGTGTCTTCATGAGATTCCCTAGTGCACTCTATTTAAAGAGGTTTTTATTACAAAACGAATTTTTGGGACAAAATACTTTTACAATACCAACAATACACATTAATTCTTGATTGAAATGTTAAAACGATTTCGATTTGAATAATTAGACAAAGATTGTTTCCTGACTTCCAAGAGAAACTTTTTAAAATCCTCTTAGTGTGTCATGATACTGTGTCAGGACATGGCCTCTTAATCTAAACAATTTCGATTGTTGTTGTTATTTTGCACTAACTTTATGAACACAATCGACTAGTTTCGTGGTAGACTGTCGATAGTAGCCTGAACGAAAGTTCTTTCAATGATGTCAAACATTGCACAATCACCGATACATCACTACATATCAATATAGTAAACCATTAAATTAACATTTTAAGCAAGAAAAAACTTTCAAAGTCTCGATGTATTTATCTTTCGATCAATACTTCAATGAGAAAATCATCTTTAATTGATCATTTGACAGTAGTGAACGCTTTTTCAAGACTTTTTCGTGCAAAATTCTAAATGATCAAGCAAAGCTAAGTTTTTGAACAGGTGTTTATTGAAAGAATGTTTTCCTATGAGATGAATGAATCGTTCACTCAGAATGTTAAACTAGCCGATCAGCTGTAATACCAACTCTGACATGGTTATTCGATTGATTTCATTAGTCTGCACTGACTGCAAATCAAGAAACAATAGCCGATTTATATTGAACCTCTAGTCTAATGGAGTCGAATCGAATTGGTTCACATCAGAGTCTTCCGATTTGTTTCGAGCTTGAGACAGCCTTGACAAAGTTTCATAAAAGAAAAGCGATATGGGATTGTACTAAATGTTTTGAAGTTTCGATGTCGTAGAAATCACAAAGAGAAACTCAAGAGAAAATGCCTTCATTACAAACCTTGATTGAAATAAAAGTCTTCTGTTAAACATGAATGGATCCACGGTCGTTGTTGACCCAGTGAGGTTTGTAACATTTCTTTTCTAACTAGCTTCATCATGCCATCAATCTCTAACTTTGGTGTAGCCAAATGATTTAATAGCGCTGATGTAAAGAAGCTATTTCCACTTTCATCACCAACGTAAGATACTGTACCAGGATCAGATGAAAATATCAAAGCAAATTGTGATTCTTGTGGTATGTTAACATGTGACGTTAATGCTTTACCAAATGCTGGCTTAAGATGTGCTTGTTTACTAATAGCTTTTATTCTCCAGGTATCATTGTCTTCATCAAATCGACAAGCGTCCAAAATAATAATGTTTAAAAGATTATCTCCAGAACGCCTTAGATCCTTCAACATGGTATCCAAACTGATGCAGTCGAACTCTGGATCGTGCAACGGTTCGATTGGCAATAAATAGTTCTTACCCTGAAAGAAATAAGTGAAATAGATAGTATTATCGAAATGTGTGGATGTGAATATGAGCGTGAATGTTCTCTTCATTCGTACCCATACCCTCTACTAGTCATTAGTCATCTTCAACTACATCTCTTTAGTGATCAAAGTTCCCCGAGATGGTTCATAGTATGAGTAATAATAGTCTTTCCAACTCATTGACGAGCTAGAATCCTTTTGTAGATGTCTCTTCAATGGACTGCTCTTTCTTGACGGGCTCAATACCTTTGGTGTAAAGAAGACTATCGTTGTTTGTCTATCCATTTGGAATAAAAAAATTGAATTAGTAACAGTTACTTTGTCACGATTTTCGTAGGACACGGTGCATACAATGGAAATACTGCACATGTGTGTGCAGAATTCACTCATGGTAACACACATTTTTCTTAATGAAATGCTTCAGATCTAGCTAATATTGATAAATGCAGTGAGGGTTGCAGTTGATTTCCTATAGTCAATAAAATTATTGATAACTTTTGGAAAAATGAACTGACTTCTCTGATCGAAAATTCTTGTGCTCTTCTTTGGAGAAAGCATGGTATCAAGGTTACATTTGAAGGAAACTCGAGAAATCCTATTTATAAACGATAATCTATCGATAAATACATCTCGAAATAACATCATTTGTTTGAATTTTAGATTAGAAAGAATGATATATCTGATTTCTCGATGTTTTTTTCTATCACAGCTTATGTCTTGCCGTTTCTCAACGGCTCTTTAGAAATTCTCTTTAAAAACATCAGTTGACATAGGTCAATTGAGAATTATATTTGGATGAATCGTGTGTTGATTGTACTCTTAGCACAAAAAAGAATGAAAGACCTAATTAGACACATTAGAAATAAAAGATCAACATCCGATAGATCATTCATGACAGCCTAAACATATCATATTTTTCCTACAGTTTACCCAAGATGAGTTGAGAACAGCAACCAAATATAATAGCATCGTGGTATCAATTTTTTTCTAATATGAAAACATTGAAATTACTTGAAAAGGTTATATTTCTGTCATTTGATGGGACTCAAACAGCTTTATTCAATAGATTGTACAAAAATAGTAATTATTATTTCTACTCAGATAGATCTATAGAACAGAATGCCGAAATTCACAGATTATACCAATAGTGGCAATAATATTGACACGTTACAGAAGCCATCACAAACAGATTTTTAGTCTTTCATGATGTCGAAATACTAACAGTAAAGTTAGATCAAATTTCGAAGAACGAATCGAATGGTGCATACTACCTTCAGTTTCTATGTGGTTCTCAGACAATGAGTCGAACTTCAAAGTTCGGAATAGAGCTTTATCAAACTGGCTGGTAGATAGAGTCATTTTTTTTTGAACTTATCTACTAAAAATAGTTTCATATTTGATTACGTGGTGATTTACTGAATGAATTCGAAAGGATCGATTTCATCTTATCTATTGCATCATCACTAAGGGTAGATCATATTTTTATCATAATAATAAAAATATAATAGTGTATCCTAAAATTGCAGCCATACAAAGTGATTCAAGAATAATGAAGATTCATCGACACTAGAGAACGAACCTAAAAAAATCATATCTTACCTAGCAGAGACTTTCAACAGTGTATAATGACGTAATAAAACTCCAGTATTAATATTCTCACTTTTTCTACAGGAAATGTCAATTGTCTACGAACTATTCGTAGAGAATCGTATTAAATCATATTCAAAAATAATTTACTCTTCAGAATTACATTCATACGACTTCTTTTTGCTACAGTTGAGTTCACTGGTGACAATAGTGTTAAATGTGTTAGAACAGGCCATAATTCGTCGCATAAAACTCGATTAAAAACCCACTTCTATAATCTGATTTTATTAAATATACAAGTCCATCGTTGTTCAAGAGGAGCATCTTGAAAAACTACACTAAAACCAGTGTTTGACTATTTGTCTAAAAAGTAGTTGAAAAAACTTTCATAGTATCATTTCTGCAAATAGAAATGAATCGATAATTAGGTAATTATGAAACGCTTTATTTCGGATTTGAAATACATATTTCAAGCCTAGAAAGATTTTTTACTTTGCTACCGTATCACTGACTGCTACGAATCCAGTGGTAGTCGTAGATGGCAATAAAATAAAGATTGGAGAGAGTCGTAAAGAATTAGCTAAGAGATTCTCTTCGACATATTAACACGAAAGTAAGAAAGAAGTTTCATGTAAATTGAGCTATTTGTCCAAGGAACATAAAGATAGTATCAAAATTTTAGCTTCGAATGCAGAATGTTTTGCTGTATTCAAGTATTTTGAAACTTATCAATTCTGAAGAATAGATGAAAAGGCCGTCATCTCTGAAATTTAGTATTACTAGAAACTATACTCACAAATGACAAAATTACACTATTTTGGGTAAGTATTGTTGAGAATAAGTCTGTCAAATTATATCAAGGCGTGATCTCTCTACAATACTTATTCTAAGTAGTTAGTCAAATTCAACTGTTTGGATACAACATGTATTGTAACATCACTAAATGACTGCTGAAGTTTTCAAATAAGCGTGAGAAATACTTCGTAGTCCTTACGCAAGCTTCCATGCCATGTCCAGAAAAATATATTAAAATACAATCATTATCAGCAATAATGGCACAAAAGTCTCTGATAGCAATATCCATGGCACGTTTATTCAAATTATGATATTTTGTACATTGAAAATCTAGAGTATGGAAAAAAGAATTTTAAAAACTTTGTTTGTCATTAAAATATCAGTCTTAAAGGTTTACCCAAATTAGTTAATGCCACTGCTAAATCGTCTGCATCCTTAACACAACTTTTTAATTTTGCTGTACCACTGTAGTCTTCATTTCCAAAGATTAAAGCTAGTCGGCGTCGATCCATATTCAAGTCGTTCTCTTAATCTGAAGCATCAATATGAAAACTATATCTAAAAAAACAAACAAACAGAAACTGAAGCATTAGCTATATCAAATAAATTCTCTTCAAGAATGTGATATTGAATGCTGAGAACCCGCTTTGCTAACTATAATAAAACCTTGAGAACTGTTTAAACTGTTACACTGTAAAAGAAAACATAGAATAGTAAAATTTTGTCTTAAATATAATTTTTCATAAAATCATTGAGGACATGAATGTTACAGTAGCATAGGTTCTGATTTTTGTGCAGATAAACTGTTATATAACACATATTAATGATACTGGTTAGTGTTGTGTTGATTTGTCACAGTTGTCATATGACCAACACAGAAAGCATAAACCTATCAACTTCTAGTCTTCAAGAATAATCAACATAATTGTACTTCTAAGTTTATCGCAATACATAATCGACTGTTGAGATATTCTATAGATACAATCGATGTGAATATCAGACTTAATTTTTACTTAAACAATAGTTTGAATAATAATAATAGTGATGTAAGAAACAGGAAATAAAATAGATTAGAAAACGAGTACATACCAACCAGATAAATCAAAAATAGAATACTAATAGAAAATTTTAAAAACAAAAATTCTGTTTCGAATAGAGAAATTGTTTTCTTGGCAATTGGTTGTTCTTGGAAAGCAACTATCGTCTATTAAAGATTTTTGACTTAATGTATTAAAGAAGATGTGTGAGATATACGTTTTAGCTCTAAGTGGGTTGCACCAGTAAGTTTATGAAAAAAAAAGTTATCAATCTATTTCTTTCGATAAAATAAAGAATTGTAAGATCATCTGGACTGATTATTTTACAGATAATGAAGGAAATTCAAATTGAATCCATAGAATAATTCAAAAGTGTTGAATTCACTCATAAAAACGACTTGTTTTCTTTCTTTTTTTTGCAAGTCAAAAACATTAAAAATTTATCATTAGAGTTTTAGCAACGAAATAAATATTATCTTATTTTGTCATGTCGCTAATATTAATAATAAAGTAGATATATAAGCTGATATTATGGAGCCAAATTTTTTCATGTTCTAAAAAAAACAACGTTTTCAAATTTAGATATTATATGCAATAATTATGCTCAACTAACCAAAAATATGATTTCGAATAAAGTAATTCTGTGTTTCCTTTGTAATCTATCTTCTAGCCATGTGGAACCAATCGCACAAAATACTAGCACGCCGATAGTTACATGTAAAATTTTTTTAATGAAGATAAAGTCGTAAGAATCCACACAAGATGCATCTCCTGTACGATAGTGAAAGCGAAAACACATATACAAAGGAAACAAGACATGTTAGACTCTGATCAATTCTCTTAAGTTCAACTATATGTTTGTAGAGTTTTCATATTTAAGAGGCCAGAATACATTTAGTCAGGTCTAATAGATAAACCTTTCCTATGAAGAAATATAAAAACTCGGTATTATTTTGTGATTTATCTTTCTCATGAACTTCATACTATTGAATTCATTAAACTTGTTAGTATGCATAAAAGAAAAATTGCCTCTTTCTATCCTATTTGTTTCTAATAAGAAGAAAATAGAAAATGCTAATGTTACACGAAAGTGTTAGACAATCTTAAAATTATCGTGACTATCTTCATAGAAAAATGCCGAACTAAAATCATCTGATCTGTCTTTTACATTTTGCTGCGTTGTATGATAACAAGTATTTCGAGTTGACTTTAAGAAAGTGCTGAAAGACGCAAAGCTTTTTACTTTTATCTTCACTGACATGAAAATTTTACTCTTATTATGCTGATATTTTCGAATGTTTATCATTTGCTACAAATTGCAGTTCCCTAAATTGGTCCCTAAAAAAGATCCCTAAATTCATCCCTACTTGGTCACCAGAATATACGATAGCGTTTCACGTATCCATAAATAGGGATTCGATTCAGGGACTGATTCAGGGAACCACAATTTGTGGCAAATGATAACCTACCATATTTTCAACGCTGATCTCTTGATTAACTAAACATGATGTATAGTATTGGCCAAAAAAGAAGCAAACTAATTTTGTCATGTAGAGACATTATCAATGAATTGAGAATACTAACTACGAGACATTTATCAATCAATCATCCAAAAGACAGGACGATCCCCCCTTGTGATTGATTGTATATGTCCGAGTTATGCTTGATGTGCAGATTATGTTAGCACTATATGTGTGTTAATTGCTAGATTTCTTTCTATTATCAGTATTATTTCAATAAGTTACTCACTATGATGAAATGAATAAAAACCGAATATATGAAAAAAAAATTATGTGTTGAGGTGCTGTTGATTATGCTTGATGTTGTGTATGTGATACTGTTTGCTTGTTTTCTCGAAGGATTCTTTTTTTTTTACCTTTACAGCAAAGCAACTTGATTCGCTTCTTACTATTCGTTGTTTTGTCTAGTTTTCTTTCTTTTTATTTTTTCTTACTACATACTCTATCACGAACAAGTCTACACAAGATGTGCACAGAATGTTGCACATTACGAAACATGTGCGCAAAACGATATGCTTCAATGATGTGCACATAGTGAATCTGATGTGCGAAATATAATAAAAAATTGTTTCTTTTTAATTGAAACTCATAATACTTTATATTCATATATACATATATAAACAAAAAGTTTCGAAAAATAATTCGATAGTTATTAGCATATGTAGTTGATATCGAGTAATGACAATTTCACATACTCATCTTTATATACGTATTTCGAACTTTTGGTTCTTGAAGCAAATTAAGTTTGATAATTTTAGGACATCAAAATGATCGAATGTTAAATAACAAAGTATATAATTTAGGGTATATAATAAGTACATCCTTGCTTATAAATTAACACTTTAATGAACTCAAGGAAATCTTATTGCACAAAATGAAGTGTGAGTATTATAGAAGAAATCTTGCTATATAAAAATACACTCGTACAGTTATTTTACTTACTAACAAATCAAGATACTGTATGAAGCTAATGATGAAGATACGTTCAACAGCCAAACAAAATTCTTCCATTAAGTAATTATGTCAATAAAATATATCCGAATCTAAGGAATGAAAGTACAATTGTTGACAATATAATTTAAGTTCTCGACTTTATGCTAACTTGTCTTTTATTTATCGAAATGAAGTAAACATTTTTTTTTTCATCAACTGAAAATTGAAAGTTAATTAACTATTGTCTATGGAGAACTGTGCGAATAACATCAATGGTAAATTATATCTAACTTTTGTTTTATTTTATTGTGCTGACGTGTGTATTTATGTTTTGTATTTCTGTCAAATCAATATATGTTGCTTCCTTAGTTCAACAACATTTTTGAATATACATCGATTTATTTGAAAAAAAAAACAAACAGACACTAGTTCTACTAGAGAATTATTTTCTTCTCAAGAAACTTTTGAAGTCATTTTATTAGACCAGAATAGTTCTAGAGACGATGTAAAGTGTCAAAAATACGTTATCCGATAGAAATAGATCTTTTTTTTTGTCCTCTAGAACCTATTAAAAAACACTCTATTGTAAAGAATTGTTTGTCGTGGCCATGTTTGAAACTTTGAAAAACTCACTTAAAAATGTTTTATTCTCGAACTTCTCTTTGTATCCAATCGATTTCCTTAGTAGTTATTTATGTGGACTGATTTATAGAGCAGTATAATTGGATATCTGATTGTTGTATTCAGTATATTTCATGCCATCACTTTTTATCAAAGAGAATAGGTGGATTTAGAACTTCTCTGTATCACTATCGTATCCTACCTATTTTCATAACATTCCCATACTCGAAATACGATAAGGATTCAGAGGATTTCAGAAATCTGGCGATGCACTTTTCTCAAAAAGACAGATTCGTAGCCGAAACTGATGATTATAAAAAAGAAACAAAACGTTTATTAATGCTTGTTTCCACAACAAGATAATGCAAAACAGAATATTAAGTGAAGAATCATTTCTCATTTTCTTTGTAAAAAGTGTGTTGAATAGATTACAAGAGAAATGAATAATCAATGTTTACATTCTTTCTTCGCATTTCTACCAATATAACGATGCGATGTAGATTTTGATTAATTTTTTTTTCTTTTTTTGCTTCCTCTTGTTAGATACAACTATGTGTTTGGAAGCATTTTTTTCATTGACATGTATCATTTCTCGTCGACTGCTTTTGTTGTCCAAAATACAAGTAATCCAATTGAGGTAGAATGAAAATTGAGAGTAATATTAAATAAAGGTTCTAATAGATATTTACGAGAACGAAATGGATGTGTAATTGGATCATGATTTATTTTAGTCTAAAAAAAGGCACGTTACAAGAGAATATGAAAGAAAATGTTTCTTTCATTGATATTTCGATAATTCGAAAACACTCACACACTATTTGATAAATATTATCGTAAAGTAACATTTCATTCACAAAATATAATGTCAATATTGCTTGTATTTTGCACATTTTTACTAGTTGTAACAATGCCTGAAATTCTATTATTACTAAGTTCTGCATCAATAATCTATGAAGGTCAAGCTCGTTTCACTATTTTATCAGCACAACTTATTCGTCTCGAATGGTCATCAACAAAAGAATTTGTTGATGAAAAAACATGGCTTGTTCAATCACGTCAAATTCAACCAATACCACCATCATTTACTGTCATGAGAAATGATACTCACCTACGTATTGATACTGATTTCGTTACATTAGAATATCTTCGAAATGCTACAACAACATTTAGTCAACATAATATACGTGTCACAGTTCGAGTCAATATCATCAAAGGAGATATAGTAGTTTGGAATGCTATACCAGGAGAAGAATATGATGGTAATCTTTTAGGTACATTACGGACATTAGATGGTAGTCGAGATCCCAAATTAGAATTAGATTGTCGAAATCAACCACGTGATGATTTACATTGTACTTATGGTGTTATTTCTCGTCGTGGTTATGTTCTTATTGATGATACACATCGACCTCAACTTGATAATGATTCTAGATGGCCATGGATTATTAATAAACAATATTCACCACCTAATCCTAATCATTGCCAAATAGTATCAATAGAAGAACGTCGAAATTGTGGAACATCAAGTAATAATATCAATCAACATGAATGTGAACTTCGTGGATGTTGTTTTTTATTTCCATCATCATGTTTTTATTCATCACAATCTCAACAAGATTTATATTTATTTGGTCACGGTCATGCTTATTCTCAAGCTTTATTTGAATTTACTCGTCTTGCTGGTTCAATTCCACTTCCACCTCGTTATATATTTGGTATTTTTTTTAGTCGATATTGGGCATATGCTGAATATGAAGAAAGACAAATCATTACTGAATATATTCAACATGATATTCCATTAGATGTTCTTGTTATTGATATGGATTGGCATAAAACATTTTATAAATTACTTTCAAATGGTACACAAGATCAAGCAGATCAAGAAATTGGATGGACTGGATATACATTTGATAAACATTTATTTTCAAATCCAGTAAAGTTTTTTCAATGGTGTAAACAATTAGGTTTAAAAAACGCTCTCAATCTTCATCCAGCTTCAGGTAATAAAATTTTTTTTTTCTTTGTTGTCAATCAAATTATAAATGATTCTAATTAAGGTATTCATCCATGGGAAAAAAAATATAAAGCAATGGCTTATGCTATGGGTATTGATCCTTCAACTGGTCATTATGTTCCATTTAATATCACTGATAAACATTATAGTTTATCATTATCTGATATTGTTCTTAATCCACTTCAACAAGTTGGTGTTGATTTCTGGTGGTTAGATTGGCAACAAGGTGAAAAAGGTTGGATGAATGATATTCCGTATACTAATCCTACTTTTTGGCTTAATCATATTTTCTTTACTGATCCTTATCATCAAGATAAACGAGCAGTGATTCTTCATCGATGGGGTGGACTTGGTAATCATCGTTATCAAGTAGGCTTTTCAGGTGATGTTATACCATCATGGGATACACTTTCATTTCAACCACGTTTTACAGCAACATCTGCAAATGTTGGTTATGGATATTGGAGTCATGATCTTGGTGGACATACTGAACAACCAGATCCTGAATTGTACATTCGATGGATTCAATGGGGTACATTTTCACCTATGTTTCGAACACATTGTACAAAAAATGCAAATAATGATCGACGACTTTGGACATTTCCTTGGATTTATCAAAATAATTTAGCTCGATTTACTCGTCTTCGTCAATCACTCATACCTTATCTATATACAGCTGCAAGATATACATATGATTCTGGTCTATCTATTGTTTTACCTCTTTATTATTACTATCCTGAACATGATGAAGCTTATTCATATTCAAATCAATATTATTTTGGTCAAAATATATTTGTTTCACCTATTACTCAACCAATAAATACAACTACTGGTCTTGTTCATAATTGGCCTATATGGTTTCCACCTGATTTTCAATGGGTTAATTTCTTTAATAGTGATCTTTCTTCTACTTCTACAATGAAATCTTTTACTATTGATGAAATGCCAGTTTATGCTCAAGTTGGTTCAATTATTCCACTTTTACCTGAACCAAAATCAAGTCGAGAAAGAATTGGTCGAGCTCAACAAATTCCTCAATCTCTTCTTCTATATACACTTATTGGTGGATCTTCAAAAGGAAAAGGATATGTTTATGATGATGATGGTTCAACAATGGCATATCAAGATTCTTCTCATTCAGCTAGTGCTATCACTTATTTTTATTATAGTGTATCAGTAAATACATTACAATTTAGTAAGTTGTATCTCTTAATATCATATATCAAAATAATTAATGACAAAATAAAAGTAATACTTTGATATATTTTATAGCTATTTCTGCAGCATCAGGATATTTTCCCACTTTTCCAACATCACGTACATACGAAATTCATCTTCGAGGTATTTTTCCAGCTACAAATGTTCGTATCAATAATATTAATATTTCTTTTGAACCATTTCATGAATTAATTAATGGTCAAAATAGTATAACAAATAGTTATACATATGATGGATCAACTCTTTCAATTATTATTTATATTCGACAAGCAGTATCAACATCAGAATTAGTTGAAATAGAAGTTGAATTATCCGAAAGTATTTCTGATCCACTTCTTGTTCGAACTCCAATATCATTTATTAGTCTTCTTAATCGATGTCAATTAGCTAAAGCTCGTCTTGATTATGAATGGGGTATAAGAACAGTTTATATGGATGATTATCCATTATTATTAAATGCTGCTGCAACTGGTCTTCGTATTACTCATAGACCATCAACTGCTAAAAAAGAATTAAATGCATTTTATAATAAACGTATACCAGGTGCATGTAGTGAAATAGCGAAAAAAATTGATAATATTGATCCGAATATTCGAAACATTTTATTAGCTCAACTACAATGCAATTTATTCACTAAGAAGAAATTAAATAGAATATGGAATTAAAAAAAAAAAATCTTCTAGAAATTAATTAATTTTTACTATATCAATTTTATTATTAGTATGAATAGATTTAGAAAGTTGAAGATTTTGAAAATAAACTGAAAAGAATAAATATATTCATGTAGGAGAAGTATAAGACATCATAAACCAAAAAAAAGAAGGTCAAAAGCAATTCTTCTAAATATTGCATATATCAACTTAATATCTTGTCTACGTATATATTATCGATTTGAAGATGTACGTGTATGTGTAGATTTTTCATCCACACAAGCCCACACCTTCCAGCTACCCATTTGCGTTCACGCGAGTAGGAAAAATTTCTGAAAAATTATTGATTATGAAAATTTTTTTTATATCGAAAAATCAAGAAAAAGTTTGTCTTTCGTGGAAATTAGGATACAAAATTCATGTACAGGTTGTATGATTTATTTACCAATAGAGACTAGTGTAACGGCTTTTTTGTTTCTAGTACCATTCAATACATGACACTTTCAACATGCATGATGTCCTAGATCACATTTTGTTCTGCTCGGATGCTGTTTAGATTAACTTTTGTTTTTCTTTTTAATACAAACAAATAATAGCAGATATACATATATAGAACCAATAGGTAAAACATCGTCATAAAGAAAAGAGAAGATATATTAAAGACAAAAGATCATTGCAAAAAACATCATTGTGAATAAATATTTATATCTTGAAAATTGTCGAAAATAATGTGAAGAAATTTTTTCAAAAAAAAAACAGCAGCTCCTGATTATTTATCAGCAAATGTTTCTCAAGTTTCATTTCCTTGATCTGTATCTATTTTTACAAGTTCATCAATAAATTCAATTTCTAATAGCTAGACTTAATTACATGTTTACTTTGCTTTAAATATAAAAAGCAACCAAGACGAACAACAGATAAATAAAAAGACTAATCGTTCTTCTAGTCGGGTCTAGTCTTTTTCTCAAAAAGTCCTGGTACATAACTAGTCTGAAATCCTTTGAACTCATTGATGCTCGTCCTGACTACGTAACTGACTCGAACGCCTGTCTAAAATTAGATGATGATCGAAAAAAAGGAAGAATTTACAAAGCTACACATCTGACAAGTTGTAGCCTTAAGTAGTGGTCTATTCTGGAGTAATCTCAATGATATAAGTATAAGGCAGAGGATTAGAAATTAATTGAACTATGTGATTGAGTAATCAACTACTACATGTCAGTACACATTTTCAGATGCTATTTAATTGTTTTATTCAGAGCTTTTTAAGTTTTTTTTATATAATTAAAATCTATTTATCATACAATTCAAAATTTCGTAAAATAGTTAAATAAAATTAATTTAGAATTTCTTTTGTGTTTTCAAAGAAATTCTTCTCATCACCGACATATATAGAAAGAAACAATTACAATAAATAAAAAAATTCTAACTAATACAAATATTAAAAAAAAAATACTTTTTCATATCGTGATTTATGTTTATTTTAATTTAATTTAACTACTTTCACTTTCAATTTGAAAATCAATTAAAATTCCTTAATTTTAGGGTGTGAGTATGAATCAACTTACATCTACACATTATTTTTTTGCAAAATATAATTGTGTTATTTAAAGAAACACATAATTCAAGTTGTAACATCCGAAGAGTGATTACTTAGAAGCTCAGATGCTGCTTCGATAGTTATTCAATTTAGAATATTTTGGAAAAACACAGCATGTAATCGTTGAATAGATTGAAAGATGCTAAAGAATATGAGTGGACTAACTTTGAACAGGGTCTAATCAAACCACAATTTTGAGAATTAATCATTTCGTAGAATAAATATTGAAAAATAAGAACTAATTTTCTATTTTTTTTTTCAAACTAAATTCAATGACTTATATGTGTTATCCCGTATTTATAATAGAAAGGATCCATAATGATTACCAAGTATTCAAGATCATTAGGATATTCTATTGATACTCTATTCACAAAAACAAAGTATCCTGTGCATACCTGACTAAGGATTTCTTTTTCATTATATGAAACGTTCGAACTTTTAAATTTTGTGATTATCAATGACGTATTCTATATGGTTTCATCTAGCGAATCATGTCATTTTGTAAAATGTTTCGTCTATTTTTATCAACTGTTGTTGTAGTCTCATATTTTCTACGGATTTTTAAACAATCTTTACACATGTTTGTTTTTCATAGCTGTAAATTTAAGAATTTTGTTGTTTTTTTTTACGTATGAAACTTTAAATAAAGTATTAACTACTAAATTTTGTGTATTTTCGATTTGAAATTAGTCTTGAATGAATAGGCAAATTCTCTTTTTTTTTATTTCAGATTTCTATTAAAAACGTTGTATTTAATAAGAAATATTTTAAAACTGATATAAATTTCATTTTCGAGATAAAATTGATGAAAATTTTCACTTTTCTTCTCTGAACATTAAATAAAAATCTAAATAAATTGATAAATTTTTTATGGAAAAAAATATCCGTATTGACTGTTCTTCTCTGGGAATTCCATGAAAAAAAAACTAATATGTGATATTGTAAAAGTGCTTCATATTTATGCAATATTGACTACATTGTAGTGGTACAATCTCACTCCTTATTGGTCACATGAATAACGAATCTGAACAAATATCAAGTCGGCAATAACAACACAAGCAGGATTGTCGGAAGCATAAAATTTCTTACCCCTATTTGGCGAACATTTTTGTTTTTTCTCGGCAAAATTCAACCTTTCTTTGTCATTCTCTTAGAAGAACAACTTTGTTTTCCTTTTCAGAATATCACGACCTCTCTCTGTGTTAGCAGATTTTAACCATCTCATTGTATTGATCATTTTTATTTTAAATAAATCTGTTTTCGTTTTTACTCATTGATAAAAATCGAAAAATTGTTTTTCTTTTTTTTAAATAGCAATCTTGATTATTTAATAATGAATATTCTTTTAAGGTAACTATTATATTAATTAATAGATATCAGATTAGAAATTATCTTTAATTCAATTGTGTTTTTTCATTAAAATTTAACATACAAAAATGAGATTTTTAAAAATAATTTAATAATTATTTTTTTAAGATTTTTATTTATTAATTTTGATCAAATTAAAAATTTTAATTGTAAATATTAATCATTTACGATAGAAAATTCCTTCTTGACTACATTTATTATTCTATTCGATAATTAAAGTATGTTTAAATGATTATTTAATAATATTTGCTAGATAAGATTTTGTTTTTGTTTTTTGATTTCTCTATATCTATTTCAAAGAATAACGTTTATTACAAAACTAACTATTACGAACTAATCTAGTTCATATTAAATACTATTGGTTCAATTGTATTTTTCAAAAAAATTAATTTTTCAATTCTTTACAGGATGAGTCGGAATAAATTTGACTGTTTTTATTTCTATGATTTTTCTTCTTCAGTGAGTTCTATTGAATGTTGAAAATATCATGAGAAATTATAGGAAATACCAAAAGTAGCCATCGTCTGGACCTTGAAAAGCTTCTTTATCTGACTATGATTTTAAACGAGCTGAATAAAAATTTAGACCGTAAAAAGTTTATTATTTTTGAAAAAAAAAATAGCAATTATTTAATGAACACTTTAAATCTTCTGATAAAACAAATATAGTCTAGTCAAACACTATTCATTACTAGCTGAGTTTTTCATTTATTTCAAAAATCAATGTTTTATTATTATGGTCAGATTTCCAATATTCAAGAGAAAACTTTATTTTCATCGACCATATAAAAAATGTTCTTATTTTCCGTTTGTTAGACATAAAACTAATTGTATCGAATATTTGAATACAAATGTTTTTTGCTTTATACAAGGAGATATAGACCATCTATTGAAACTATATAATATATATATATTCGAATCATTTTCTCATAGCATTTATCATATTTGAATTCTGAAATAAAACGATCAGTAGATTTTTGTCTATAAAATTCAAAAGAAAATCTTCTAGTAAATAAATCAACTTGATTCAATTCAATAAAAGAAAGAAAGATTTTAAAAAATATAAAAAGTCAAATTTATTCGAACTCATTCAATATAATCAACAAGAATAGAATTTAGAGATTTTAAGATGAAGAAAATAGTCAAGTTTCGAAATACAAAAAAAAGTTCATAGGTCTTTTTCTGTCAATCTGTTTCGAGACTGAAGAAAATTCATTTTTCAGTTAGATTAAAGTAAATTATTTCTGATTTATTATTTAAAAAAAATTTTTTCGCTTGAAAACCAAAACTTCGTAAGAAAGAATTCATGAGAAGACTCATAATCAGTCCGATATACGAAGCACTATTCAATATTTAAATTTTTCTTTTTTTTTTACGTGCATTTGAAAGGACACTGTATAAAACTATCAAACTCAAATTTGTACTAATAGATAGAACGTCAGTCGCTGAAAAATAAGTCAGCTATTTGAGTTAAAACGTATAGTCTGTTTACTGAGGTTTTTTTTAGTACGACAGTTGTGAGAAATCTGACAATTTATGATTTGATAATGATCGATTTTTGATAGTATAGCAGGTACCCATTTTTCAAAAGAAATAGGATCGAGTTGAATTTTCTACCTTTGACGTAACTTTTTGATTCTTTACGCCATGGGAAAAAATATCGAAAAAGGATAAAGTAATTTTTAATGATCTTTCAAAACAAACAGAAATATTTTAGCGATTTTCATTTGCAAGAATCAGTATCAAAAAACGACGTTCACGTGAATAAATTTGCGAGATTTTTTTTCCTGAGGAAAATCATCTACGATCTCTAAGAATCAGTTTTCCTTAGAAAAAAAAATTTAGTAAAATTTATTCGATTCAATGTAGTTTTTGATGTTGATGTCAAATATGACAGTCGCTTTGACTTAAAACCGATCCAAGCCAATAACAACCGCTAAAAAATGTTGTGTTTGTTTCGAGCATCATTCAAAAATGCTACGAAAAAGAATTATGCGTCCTGTGTCGATATTATTTTACTATTTTCCTATAAAGTCAAAATTTACGTT